AGCCCAGGAGTTGGAAGTTGTGAGCTGTGATGCCATACATAGCACTCTACCCAGGGGGACAGCTTGAGGCGCTGTCTCAAAAAATAAATAAATAAGTAAAATCAGTGTCCAAAGACTAAACTTACTAAATTTCTTATAGCCACTGTTGCTATGATAGTTACTTTGTCATGTAGACATAGTTTCCTCCATCTCTGAGACCTAGCAGCTTGTCAGTTGCTTAGAATTTAGATCTATTAAGAGGTTCTTGCTGTGATAGTATATTGTCACATAAAAACCTTCTGTGTGAGGGGAATAAAAGGAAAAAAGTCATTCTGTGAGGTTGCTGGAGGCTTTTTAGGTTAAGGAAATGAAGTTTAGGAAGACATTTTAGTCTTAGAGTTTAGTTTAGTGAGCAAAGGTGAAGTAAATACTAGAAGCAAATCCTAGTTGGTGAGGAAGTAGCCTTGGCCTGGCAGGCTTCTTTGGCCACATTTTCATGCAACAGCAATATTGCCCTGGTGTGTGTTTGCAGAACCCCTTGTTCTAGGTGTCCTTTTAGTCGTGGTGGTAGGAAAAGTTACCTGCCTGCAAGATAGGAATCTTTGTAAGAGGAGCAGGGAATCTGAGCTTATTTGGGAAAAGTGAATATTGAAAGGTTATTATTCGTTTTGTTATGGTCATTACTGGGTGGTGAAATACAAGTTTGGGGTAGATATGATGGTTGAAAATCCTAGTTTGGATCACAATGCCTAGGGAGAGAAAGTATAGGTTGGAAGAGTAAGAGCTTAACCTTGAGGTGTGCCAGCATTTAGTGGTCAGATGAGGATGCACAGGGGATATGGTGGTGTGGCCAGAGAGGAAGGTGGAGGCATGTCAGTCAGCATGTGGTTTGGGTTGCACTAATGCAGTGATTTTCAGCCGGTATGCTGTGAAAATTTTTAAAGATCTTTAATTATTTTTGAAAGATGTTCAGGCTCCGAGCCTGTGGCTCAAGTGGCTAAGGCGCCAGCCACATATACCTAAGGTGGCGGGTTTGAATC